AATCAGACCATAAATGCGGGTTTTACAAATATCTCGACTCCTGCGCCACCTAGCGGATTAAAACATCTTTTAAATTGTATTGTCCTCGAGTTCTGAGCTAAGTTTGAAGTTTCAAGTCTGTAGCTCATCGGGAAGTTTGTTAAATATTGACTGCAAAGTTCCAGGACATACATACATACATACATACATACATACAAGTGAAGTTAAATAAAAGCTTGTAAAAAAGGTGCTGTTGGACACTTCAACGAAATCCCAGCCGAAAAAGTTACTTATTTAATATTTTTGGATATAACTGATTACAGTTAGGATTGAATTTGCACAAATTGCAAGAAATCGGTATTAAGCAAAAGTAATTCGATTTCACCAAAACAGCGAAATATTATCTCAGAATTTTGCTTTGATTAGCCGTATTTTGAGAAGCAATGCCCAGCCGAAACGCATTCACGAACGATTATTTTTTGTAACCGACTACAAAATTTTCATATGGGACCGAAAGAAACCGTCTTATGAATATATAAGGGAAAATCTTTTGAGATGGGGATTTTTCAGTACAAATTGATTTCAGGGCTACGAAGAAAAGTCTGAAAAACTTCTACGCTGTTATAATGTCCAAAAATTTTGTCACAGTGTTTGCGGACAATATCCCTATTCAAATGATTAAAAATTTATTGTCGTTAATTCTTTTAGCTAAACTAAAAACGGTAATTAGGAATCGCAATTTTGATGAATAATTCGATAGTTTTCAAAAATTAAAATTTGTTTAAGGCGTTTTAGCTCGAACGCCGCGAAAATAATTTGTACATTTTCCTAACAAAAAAAAATCCTTTACATAATCACCTGCTGCGCTCTTACTATAGCCAGGCACTCTCTTCTACCCTTTAAGTAAAAAATTTTGCAGCTAAAGGGTGATTTTTTTGAGGTTAGGATTTTCATGCATTAGTATTTGACAGATCACGTGGGATTTCAGACATGGTGTCAAAGAGAAAGATGCTCAGTATGCTTTGACATTTCATCATGAATAGACTTACTAACGAGCAACGCTTGCAAATCATTGAATTTTATTACCAAAATCAGTGTTCGGTTCGCTTTACGTCCGATTTATGGTCTACATAATCGACCAAGTGAGCAAACAATTAATGCGATTGTGACCAAGTTTCGCACTCAGTTTACTTTATTGGACATTAAACCAACCACACGAATGCGTACAGTGCGTACAGAAGAGAATATTGCGTCTGTTTCTGAGAGTGTTGCTGAAGACCGTGAAATGTCGATTCGTCGCCGTTCGCAGCAATTGGGTTTGCGAAACACATTTCGAACCGAACACTGATTTTGGTAATAAAATTCAATGATTTGCAAGCGTTGCTCGTTAGTAAGTCTATTCATGATGAAATGTCAAAGCATACTGAGCATCTTTCTCTTTGACACCATGTCTGAAATCCCACGTGATCTGTCAAATACTAATGCATGAAAATCCTAACCTCAAAAAAATCACCCGTTAGTTAATTATTTACAGCCAACCGCCAAAACGAGCAGAACGGCCTCCATTTCATTTGCAGTTTACTCAACGAGACAAGAGTGGAGCACTCGACTCGATGAGACTCGGCTATCCGTACATGACTTTCTGATTTCCCCGGAGAATGCAAATGCCGACAAGCATGCAGTACTATATACGGGTACATACATACATATGAACATTA